GAACTCAAAATCTCTTGGCAATCAGTCAGACCAATGAATATCAGTTTACTTGAGGGATACTTCTCTTCTTGTGGCTCCCTCAGACATGCTGTGCATATCAGGGAGAATTTTTGCTGAATTCGCCATAAAATCATTCTTGTATGACCAGGAATCACAGAAATAATATGTTGATTGGAGTATCTGCTAAAAATACTATATTTCTGTGGTGGGAAATCGAGATATTTCTTGATGCTCATGAAAACCATGCAATTGGCTGGCACTTTGTTGTGTGAAAAGAACTTCCTGGCACCACAGAGATTTTTTTTTTTTTGGTACCAGGGACCAAACTCAGGTCCTTACGCTTGCGAGGCAGGCACCAGAACCACTGAGCTAAATCCCCGGCCCCACCACAGAGATTTTTGAATATGCAGCTGGGTACTTTTTCTCCTTTTCTTACTTACTCTGGGCCTCTACTTTTATCACTTGGTGTTCTTCAAATATTTGAACAATGTGGTTATGCTATCAGAGCCTACGACTAAGGAAAGGCATTATATATCCTAACCGTAGAGATTTACAGACTTATAAGCCATTAGTGGTAGAATAAATTTTCTTAGGAGAAACTGAGACCAGAAAGAGAAGATAATATCCTATCCCCACAGATTGTTCCAACCAAACTGGAGCTAAAAATCTAACCTTCATGTCTATTTCTTTTGGACATAGAGTCACGTTGTCAGAGCAGAGTGAAAATAGCCTTGGTAGAATAATATTTTTGTTTTGTTAAAAATAAAAAATAGCATATGAAATTGATAACATATTTACTGTTGAAAAAAAATTGGAGCAAAGCTTTTGTGAATAAGGAGGAAAAGAAGGGTGGAAGGGAGGGGAGGGGAATGAGAAAAAAGAAGCAGCAAGATAGATCATGTACAGGTACAAATTCTGTATGATGTACGTTATCATTATGTATTTATAAAATGTACCAATAAAAAGGGAAAAGAAAATTCAAAAAACTAGAGGTGTAAGAAAAATAGGGTAAAATAATCAAGATTTTTACCATCAAGCTAATCACTGTCAGGTTGTCTTCCATTTTACAGTATTTCTGCACAAATATACCCGTCTTCCTCCTCCCCCCATAGTGTATCAGTTATAGTCCTGGACAGCAGCAGTAGGAAGGTTTGGCTGCTTTTGAAGATATGTTTGAAGGGACCGTCTGTAGAGTTAAAGGAGCTAGCAAAAGGTGTGGGGTCCTGCAGAAATGAACAACAGGGATTGGGGGAAGGAAAGGTGTCATAGGAAGAACTTCTCAGGGAGAAGTTGTAGCAGTACAGAGTAGGCGTAAAGGGTTAACCAGCCCTTTCCCCCTTCCCCCTGAGAATTTGAACTGTAGTTGATTCCCTAAGTCTTTCCCACACCTGGAAATCTGGTAAGCTTTGAAATACCACCTAAATAGGGAAGCAACTTGGCTTATGTTAAAACTGACCCTTTGAATGGGGAAAATCGTAAAGACCCGATGCTGCTGCGGAAGCTGTGTTTGGGCTTCCCTGTGTGCAGTGATCCTTGTGTCTGAGTCTGTCTGTCGCTCAGGTCCCTCAACTCTGTGCTTCTAGGGTTCATTCAAGAGGCGATGGCTCCAGTGGGACATGAAGATTTTAAGAACAGGGCATGCTATGGATTAGATCTAAAATGTCCCCTGAAAGTTCAGTATGTAGGGGAGTTGATTGACTTATGAGGGCACTCTGTACTCATCGCTGGATTCATCCCTTAAAGAGCTCAGTAGCTGCATGTGCTGTTTGGAGGTAGGCCCTGGTTGGAGGTGGGTCACTGGGGGGTGTGACTTGTTTCTGGCTCCTCCCTTTTGTGTTTGCTTCCTTTCTGCCATGGGTTGAGTGTCTTTTCCTCTACCATGCCGCTGTGGCATTATGTTTCTGCCTGGAAGCCAATCCACCACAGATTGAAACCATGACCCAAAATCAGCCTCTCCTCTTTCAATTTGTGGGCGTTTCAGTATTGTGATTTGGTGATGGAAAAGTGACTAAGCCAGGATGGTTTCCTTGTCCTTTGTACCTATACTGCTACAACATGAACTTCAAGCAAACACTCCCGTTGAAAAAGGATCTCTGATAGTGCCCCGCTGTGCTTCCTGTCTTGTATCCTTCTCAGTCCAGTAGCTCTATGGTTAGCCTGCCTCTGTTTGTCATTTGACTCTAAGAAAACCCAAGGGACCCCAGGAATACACTCTTGCCCTAACTGTGGTGCCAAAGGAGGAAAATAAAGGGAAAATACCTCAAACTTTCTGTTCTTTCCCCTCTAATCTCCTAATAGTTTTCCAACATTGACTGAACCTAACCATAAGACTGGCACCAGGGAGAAAGACTCTGATTATCCCAGCTGATGTCAGGGCCTCACACAATTTGCCATTCTGCTGTTGATAGACCCTGGAATCTTCAGTGTTTGGCTGTGTGAACATTCATGTAGAGAGCATGATGAGTGTGTTTTAGTTTCAGGTAAATTCACAGAGGTGGAATTTCTGGGTCATGGGACAGAGAAATACTTAACTTTTTAACAAAACTACCAGTTTTTCAAAGTGGTTGTACCATTATGTGCTACCCACTACAATATGTTAGAATTCTGATTGATCCACACCTGATTGATTAGCACTTACTGTTAAACTTTGCCACAGGGGCCACTCACATTACCCAGTGTAGCCACATTCTCGCTGTACATTTCCCTGATGACTAATGATATTTAGGGCTTTTTCATGTATTTGTTTTTCAGATATATCCTTTTATGAAGTACCTATTCAAGTCTTTATGGAATTTGATTGTCTTATTGTTATCTAATTTATTTATTTTATTGAACTGTAGGAGTTCCTTAGATATTTGGGATATAAATCCTTTGTCAGATTATATGTTCTGAGCATTTCCTCTCAATCTGTGGCTTTTCTCTTTTCTAAATTATGCTTTTGCTTAAGCAAAATTTAAAATATCATGAAGTACAATTTATATCTTTTTCTGTCTTATCTTTGCCTATCCAAATAATTTTTAAAAATCGTAATTATAAATTATTAAAGTAATATCCTTTTTCTTTATTTAAAAATCATTTCTATTTAAAAATAAAATTCAACATGGATATTTTTCAGATCACCATGTATCCTACTTCACAGCATGTATATCTCATAGAAGTCTCATAAATGCTGGATGATGCTCAGAGTTGCAAAGGAACCTCGACACCACATTTTCCACCTGACATTAGGTTTCCACCTGACATTATTAGGTTTCCTTATTAAAAATATTACTGATAACTATTGAGTCTTTGGATGCCTCTAGAGGTTGAAAGCTACCAGAAGTGAGAAGTAAAACAAAATATAATTCTTAAAATTGGTGTGCTCTTTTAATAGTTTGCTCACTAGAATTTTATTATGCTCATTGTGAGTGTGCTCAAACTTTAGTTATGATTCAAGTGATGAGAACCAAAATTACAGTTCATTGGCAAGCACATGCATAGCCTCAGTAGTATGGTGTGTTTTGGGATACAGAGTAGGGCGTCTTGCATTGTCTAGGAAGTAGCAGTCTGCTAAGTGCGCAAAAGAACACGTGGCATGGCTGAGAGAATAATTTGTCCTTCTTGGGTTTGCCAGGGAATCCTTTATGGGGAAAACATGTTTGAGCTGGACTCCAAATAAGCAGGAGTTTCCTGCTCTCCACAAGGAGTTGGAGGATGGGGGCATAGAGTGGGGCCACGGAGAACTAACGGCAGTGAATATGGCTGGGGTTGGGTCTGAGAACCAAGCGGTGGGAGATGTGACTGAAGAGGAGGAACACCTTGTACCTTGGTCTGTGGCTTCTCTGCAAAGGCTGGAGTGATCAGGGCCCTTGGTGACATGAAGACCAGTTAGCAGGCTCCAGAACCGATTTAGGTCAGTAATTTTCCATTTCTCAAGTTCTTGTGCTCCAGGTTGTCAGCCCTAGGCCTTACCTGTTGAATCGGGATCTTCTGGTAGAGGCTGGGTCTTTGCATCTTTTTACAGGCTCTGTAGGTGATTCTGAAGCCTGCTGGAGTTTGAAAATTATTGGCAAGTAATGAAGGGGTCTGAACTAGGACAATGAAAAAATGAAGAGCCTTTGTTAGAGAGGTAGTGCAAACTAGAATAGTGAGTATTCTTGGTTACCAGCTGTGTGCACAAAAGGAAGGAATAGGAGAATTCTGGCTTGAGTGACTTAAAAAATGTCATTCGTGCCAGGTGGCTATATGGTAACACAGAAGAGGAGATCTGTTAGAGAGAAGAGAAGGCATTTAGTTTTAGATATAGGATCAACATATGGTCAGGAAATACCCATCTTTATCACCTAGAAATAATATTAACTAGTATTACTAGAGATTGAAAACTAGAAGAAATGAGAAGCACAATGATGTACTTTCATTATATAATGCTTATTTTTTTCAAAGTACACATTCAGTTCATGTTTATTGGGAACTAAGATTTGTTGTGTGTTTATTTTGTGCTTTGACAACTTTTAGGCTAGACTTCCTACTATCATCATTTTACCTAGGTTACAACTGAAACTCAGAAGAGTTAATTCGTTTCTGTAAGATGATCTTAGTCAGGAACCAGGTGGAGTCAAGATTCAAAACTCCTGACATTGGCAAGACCAGTTTTCTTCCCATTATTACACAGCTGTCTCTAAGAACATGGATGGGCAGGGTTTTTTCTTCTTATTGTTTATGTATAATAAACACGAAGTCCAGAGAAACTAATTTGTTTAAGATCTCATGCTGATTAAGCATCAGAATAGGGACCAGAACACAGATCCCTTCTTCCTGGCCATGCTTCTTTTCATGATATCTTCCTGCTTTCCAGATGAGTGGAAAGGTTGAGTTTATTTCCCTACTTGTTTTATGTATGTTTTGAAAAGAAAGAATACTGTTTGAGAAGCAAAACTGGTCCTTAAGACTCAGTCTCTTTGGAGTGGTGGGTGATGGTAACACATTACCAGCCTATGAAAAAAAATTTTTTTTAAAATTAGGAACCTGACCTTGATGATGAAAGAAATGTGGAAGTAACTCCTGGAGAACAGGTACTTCGAAACACTAAAGAGCAGCGGGATCAGAAAAATCGGCTGAGAGAGATAGATGAAAAGCTGAGAATGATCAAGGAAAATGTGGTGAGTCTTTTTCATTTAAAGTTTAATTATTCCCAATGAATGTACTAACAAAATCTTTCCACTTTATTTGACTTTTTATGGCTGTTCATATGTGTTAAATCAGACAAGTGAATTTGTCAGTAAGAATTTAAGTAAAAGCTTAAAACATGACTCATAGGACTTAAAATGGTCTGTAATTTAAGTAACTCATACAACATAATAAACATGTAAAATGCTATTTGAAATCAGAATAATGATCCTTAATCCTACAAGGAGGTGGCAGAAATGAGCCTGACAGAGACACACATTTAATAGTTCTTCATAAAACCATCCTTCCATATTGAATTTATAGCTGAAATACTCCTACTTTTGTTGTAATATGCTAGTTACTAATTAAGTATTAATTTAATACATTCTAAATTCATTTGAGTCTATGTATTTTTCTTGCTCACAATTTAAACATACATTGTTATTGATGACAGAAAGCTCTTAAACTAACTAAATTGTTAGCTGGTTGATATTCTGAATGTTTTAAAAATGCCCTGTAATATTACAATTTATAAGCTATCCATAGGATGTTTCCAGTTGAACACTTGGCTTTTATCTAAAGCCAAAAATGAGAAGGCTGAACATGTGATTCTCCCTACATCCTTTCTTCCAGGGCTGGTCTTGCCAGAAGTACCCAATTTCTATCTCCTACTAAATTCCTCCATCTTGGGTGATCTTCAAGGCTTATTATATTTTAACCAGGATGGCTGATTTGTTGCCATATCCTGCCGTAGATTTCTATGATCTTTAAAAATGTTCTCTTTTTCCTTTTTGTCCCTACTTTCATTGCCCCTCTCTCAGAATTGTCACCTCGTGCTTAGCCACATATAACCTACTCTTTGTGGAAATTTTTTGCTTCCAAGGCACTCTTTCCTCCTCTCATTCCATTTTTCTATGCTGCTCCATGGGGGTAAGCATCAGGTATGTGATTTCATTAAGGTCTCAGCTTGTCATCACCCTGCCCCAAGAGTGCACAACAATCTTTTTTTTCGTTAAGTTTATTGGTACATTTTAGGTATACATCATTAGGAATTTGTATCTTTACCTGATACATCTTGGTTCTTATTTTTTCCCCATTCCCCTGCCCTTCCTTCAACTCCTTTACCCCTCCCTATTTACAAAGACTTTGTTTCCATTTTTTCCTTTCCCCTACCCCTCCCACTTCCCCTTCCCCTTTAGACCTTTTCTTTCTATTTCACATACCACAGCAATATATGTGCACACATGTTTATAGTGGCACAGTTTGTAATAGCTAAAAGTTGGAAACAGCCCAAATGCCCATCAACTGGAGACTGGATAAAGAAGATGTATTTTTTATTTTTAAAATAAAATGGGGTACTACTCAGCCAGAAAGAATGAGAGACTAGAGACATGTATAGCTAAATGGATGCACATTGAGGCCATACTCTTAAGTAAAATAAATAGGACACACATGTGTAGACACAACAATCTTGACTGAAACTCCAGAGGTTGTGTCCAGCTGATCTGCTCTTACCAGCTCTATTAGGGGCCTAATAGAGGTCTAGGGCCATCTGATGAGTGTCAGGCAGCTGATCTAAAGGGGATAAATGCATTTGACTTCTCTTTATGGCTCGTTTTTGTTTGTTCTCTGGGAAATTTCATGGGAATTATATTTGAGGGAGACCTTGATTTCTATTTTCCGTGGGTTTTTTCCCCTTTGAGTTTGTTCATAGGGTGAAGTGGAAGTAGGGACTTTTAGGACGTATAAAAGGGCTCGTTGTCAGTAGTTGTGGTGATTGTGATGGGATGCTATAAACTTGAGCCGACAGATGAGGTGTGGTTTGATTGGTTTTGGAAACACTGGCACTTCCTTTCATTATACACCTGCCAATCCAAGCCAGGCACAGCCTGTCGTTCTCCATAGTTCATTCTCCCAGCTTTCTGATTTCTGTGTGCCCTAGGTGCTGTGTCCCCTGCCCCCATTCCTGTAATGCTAACCTCTGAGGTCATGGTAGTAGGAAGTGGGGCTTTAGGGAGATGATTAGGTTGTGAAGGTGGAGTCCTTGTGAATGGGATTAGTGTTCTTATAAAACAGGCTCAAGGGAAACTATTCTCCCTTTTTACCATGTAAGAACATAGTGAGAAGGTGCCGCCCTATGAAACATATTAATAGGCCCTCATCAGATACTGAATCTACAGCCATCTTGTTTTGAACTTCCCAGCTCTAGAAATGTGAGAAACAAATTTCTGTTGTTTATAAGCAACACCAGTTCATGGTGTTGTTACAGAATTCCGAATGGACTAAGATAACTGACCCTTTATCATCTACCTTGAACATGTATTTGTTCTTTTCTGTCATGTCTCTACCATTATTTAATTTTGCACTCAAAACCTGGGTCCTTTAAAAAATTTTCATAATATTCCAATATTGTACAAAGTTTGGCTACACTTAAAGGAGTCAAATATCATTAATTGGTTGTTATCTATGTGGGAAAGAATAATAAGTTAATAGAGAAGAGAAATTGTTTAATAACAATTCTGAGCCAGAAACTGTTTCAAGTACTTTACAAATACTGGGTTATCTGATCTTCACAATGAAGTAAATACTACTGCTTTAACTTTATAGGTAAAAAAATGGAGGCAAAGAGAGTTGGCATAACATCCTCAAGGTAATGTAGCTCATAAGTGGAGGAGATAGGACTGAAATTGTTAGCTTTGGATAACTATGCTGTAATGCCTTTCTGATACATATTTGCTTTCTTTTCATGATTAATGTTTTTAACCACTTAACAGTTTACTCCAAGTGCACTCAGGCAGCGCATTTGTTTATGTGCTGATTATCCTGAGTATCACTCAGGCAGATGTCAATTCAACCAGTGGATTCTTGCATTGAATAAATTTGATAAAATTGTCATTTTTATATTTCTTATTATATTATCTTATAAAAATTAATGAAAAAATATGCAATGTTGGGTCATCCTGTGTTTAAATAAATGGACTGGTAAGTGGTTAAATTAAAATGTGATAAATTCATTGTAACCAGTAATATTCACTAGCAAAATGTTCAGACCCTTCTATATCAATTTTAATTCATAATTTGTGTTTTATAGTCAAAACTTTCAGAGGCTATTTTCTGTGTTTTTATTGCTTACCATTCCATAATAGCCCTATGGATTGATATAGTGTACCACATGTCCTGTTTCAAATTCTATAAAACTCACTGTTCCTCATAGACACCTAGGTACTTTTTGGATTAGGGATCTAAGACCTGAGTCCTTGTTTCAGTCTTATTAGTACCCTGCTGTGTTACCTTGAGTAAATCATTTAGTCTTTTAGACCTTTGGTTTCATTACTTTGAAATTAGGAGAGTAATGCTGGAGGACTTCTGTTCTTTTCCTTATGATTCTTGGCATACTTATTTTTGGTGAGAAGTGATATTATCAATAATAATATCTAAGGCTCAGTGTGTATATTTCCTAAATATTTGGTGCTAATTAACTGGCTTAAATCTTCTATTAAAATTATTTTTGGTTTACTAACACTTTTTATAAAGGAGAATGAAGATTGTCTTTTATATAATAAAAAAATTAGTCTACTGCTCACCAAGGAGAGAGTATGGTTTTGAATGATAGATTCTAGAAATCACTGATTTTACAGTTTTATCCTGTTCTTGGTCCTGCAATGGAGCACCTTTCAGGATCCCTGGTTTGGGTAAAACAAGTTAAATATGTGGCCATTGAATTAGTGATTTGAGGGTCAAACCCATATACACTCTTAGGGACTTGAAAGAATGAGCTAAGGGTAGTGTCAGAGCCCTGGAGGCCACAGCTGGAGACACCTGGATTCCAAAATTGATTTGTCAATAAAGACAGGAAAAATGACTTAGTTCTGTGTTTCATTTGGGTGGCTGTGGCTGCCAGTGCACATTTGTGTGGCTCCAGATTAGTCAAGGAAGTGGAATTCGGTTCATTCTGTAAGTAGTGGTAATATTGTTGGTATCAATGGACCTAGCTTTTAGGAGGTGGAAGAGGTAGACACAGTGAAATAAGGTTGAACCTCACAAACTTCATGTGAAATTCAGTAGGCACACCCTGTAAAGCAGACAGAAGACAACCCAAGGGGACAGTCTCTCCATCCTTGCCATCCAAGTGGCAAATGGTCTCTGCTATCTATAACCCCTGATTTTTCCATGCAGCTCACAGAGATGCTTTCAATTGTTTAGGGTGCTCTACATGTTTCTCTGGCATCCAATCTCCTAAATCTACTCTACTTTAATAGTACTCCTCTGAGTTATAGTCCTTTGATATGAGGTTCTATTCATGGGACATCGCTGTTAAGAGCCAGACTACTTGAGTTTGAATCTCAACTCTGTATTTATCAGCTATGTGACATTGGTCTGGTCACCCGATATTTCTGCGCTTCCGTTCCCTTGTCTATAGAAAGGAGGTAATTATGATTACTATCTACCTTATAGTACTATTATGAAGATTAAATTTACATATATATGGAGATTAAATTTGTGTATGTTTATATATATAAATATAACCTCCATATATATTTATATATAAATATAAAATATTTCAGGATAGGGATGGGAAGATGTAGTGTAAAGGGTAAAAATAGAGGATGGAGGAATGATCCCTGGAGAAGAGCCAAGATGCCCTTTGTCCTTTTCATGACTGGGATGAAAGAAAGGAAGGGTGGGCCAAGAAAGGCAAGTTTAGAGATGAAGAGAGGTTAAGCTTGAATGATAGGTACTTTGGGGTTAGAGATCAAATGGTGTGATCAGGGTGAGATGGTAGAGTGGGGACTGGAGAAGAACAAGCAAGGCTTGGCCTAGGCCCCTGAGGATGCAGGGTTGAATGTGAAGAAGAAGGTTGAATGTGAGTGTGAATGGAAGCCCCAGCTGTGAAATGAAGCCAGCTAGCAAGGCTTGAAGACTTCTCTGATCTCTCTCACAACCCCTCCAGAGCATGGAGCTCCAGAGGTTCTGAGCTGAGGCCAAGGGGGAG